TGCAATACAAACCTAACAGCAACAACAGGTGCCCCTAAATACTGAATGCCCTGAATCGCTCATGGTACATAACAACGCCATGTGGGCTTGCTCATAGGCTTCATACGGCTATGTGCTCCAGTCAGTAGTGCACCATGTTAGACGTTTATAATAGTCCAAAAATGTTTATCCAATAGCTGCAGCATCGCTGTATCGTTTTTATTTCCAACCAAATAAAGAGAATTCAAAATTTCACTTTGACTCTATTATTCAAGACCACCGTGTTGCATCCGCTCTAGTTTAGATTTGGAGAAGTCTGAGGTTTCTTTGTTTCTGTGTTTATAGGCAAAAAGATGTCCGGGTTTGAAGTCAATTAACAAAACATTAAAGAAAAAGTGACGTATACTGCAAAGCAAGAGTCATTTTAAATAAAGTGCTGAACAGTATGTTCTGGTTGCCGGCCCCCAGAGTATGAGGACTGCATGCTACGGAAAATAAGAAGCTGCCCATGACTTGTTCTACAGTCTGCTTCTTATATAATAGTAATCACTGTGGTGAAATTCAGATGCCAGCGCTGCTGACACTTATCTGCCAAAGCGTCAGCGTTTGAATCTTAATTTTTAAATGTTATTTTTAGCCTTCAAAAGATTTGCATGTAAGCAGTGGCAGAAACAGTCTTATTGGTGTATTTTACATCTCTGTTTTAATGTAAACGTCCAAAACACCAGCACCACCTTCTCCCTGGTTTCATCTTTGACATTTTTATTTGAAGTGTTGGCCGATGTGACGCCCAAAGGGGGTGAAACCACGTACAAATGGCCAGGCTGGGGCTGCAATCAGCTGCAGGCGTAAAGCCCCTGTGCAAACGCTTGCTCTCCTGTCTGTGTCTCTGGGCTTCAGTACATTGTTTGAAGCAGACTAAGCTGCATGGCGACAGAGGCTTTTTGAGTGCCAGGTTCCCATTCACACTGATCACACATTAGACTGATCAAATCAGACTCCAGGCCTGCTTCCTGACTAACTCAATTTGCTCTCATACGCTTCCCTTTTCACGCTGAGCACACGCACGCAGACACCGAAACACACACACACACACACACACACAGGCCTGGATGCACGCTTAAACATCTGCACACAAACAGAAAACCAACAGAGAGTGGGGCAGTACCCATTGAGCTCTAATGAAAAGCAGAAAAAGCCGTTACCTTGGCAACTGCCAGCATACATCTTCAGGAGGACCCAGATTTCCTGTCTGACTGCGATCGTATTGTTTTGGTTCTCTTTTGATAGCTGCAGCATCCCTAGACGGATTATCTCACCGCTGGCAAGAATTTATGCTAAATCATCGCGAATTAAACAGCAGCCATTTGCGCAGACAGGAAGCCGCCGCGCTGAAAATCCTCTGTCACAGATTCAACACCTCCGACTCCGACATAAACACCACAAACTCTTAAAACACACACACGTGTAATCAGTCTTTTTTTTTTTCAATTTTTTATGTTGGCCTTGAGCCGGTTGCTCCTCTACGCAGAGTCCCTCCACGCCGAGAACACTGCTGCCAAAAGCAGAGGATCATGGGAATTAAACTGTCAGTGTGATTTATCCAAAGTACCCTCTAACATACAAAGAGGTGCAGTCACTACAGTTTGAATGTTTATTATGACAGAATATCCACGGAAAATGTATTTTTTTGCAGAATAACCTGGAATAAAATGGAGAGACTCATCGAGGCACTAAAACCATAGAGTGCTGACCTTTTTTTTTTTTTTTTTTTTTTGAAGGATGAGTGTATTTCCTGACAATGAGGATTTAACCCCTCACAGTACAGTCTATTCCACACACATTCTGCATCAACATGAAGTCATACGTGTCTGGAATATATTTGATTTTACAAAGCAATCGGGTCCACGCTGTTCTCATCATTATCGTTCTCATCAACATAATCAGATTATTATAATTATTATAATTGCCCGTGCAGTGTTTGTAATCTTTGTATGTCGGTCCAAACAGGAAACAAATCAGACCCCTGTGTGATTTCTCATTTGAAAATACATGGGAGGTTAGAGGAGGGGCAGAAGATTGACCTTTTCAGCCCTGTGTAGCTCCTTGGTGTAATTTAAACATCCATGACACTTTTAAAAAACCGCAACGACAGTTAACTATCCTCCCTCCAAGCCATAGATGCTCCTCGGTGGTTAAATAACACAGGGGATAATTAACTGTGTGCAGTGTGTTCTCTACTGTGACATCTTTCTCTTTCTGTAGGTGGCGAAATGCTAAATTTAAGCAACAAACAGGAAACGTGAAAGGAATCATCTTCAGGAAAACTAAACAAAAGTGAATTTAAAGGCCCTAAAAACGATGAAGATGGGTTTTTGAGTGTTACATTTGTTGCGTAAATTGTCAGGGATATTTAATTATTGAAGAAATAGCTACTTAATATTTGAAACCAAGTTTTCCGAAGCTTTTTAAACAAGATCATGTTTCCTGTAAAAAAATGCTTTTGTGTGTGTGAAACTCTCTTAATGCTGAACATTTTATTATTCTCTTACTTGGTAATTACAGGATTGCCGCTAATGGGTTGTTTTGTCTGTGATTCATGACTTGGAGACGGCTTCGGCTTGCATGTGTCAGGTAGTCAAATGACTCTCTTAACACTTTTCTTCCCCTAATAGCTTCACGTTTTAGGGCCGCACAATGAATCAGAATTTTGGCGAAATGGCAACATGGCCGAGTGCAATATCCAAACCGCAGAAGCTGCCAGTTTTGGATAAAGATAAGATTTTACTGTAGTGAATCATATGCCAAATTAATATATAATGTTATATGACAATATAATGTGTTTTCATTTGATGGACAGACCTTTCCCTTGCACTTCTTACTGACTTCTGCATGACAGGAGGTGACATACTGTGTCGCCATCCGGTCACAGGAGACTCTGTCCCGATACAGGAGCTGCTGTGACGTAATCACGTCCAAGTTGCTGATGTTGACAGTAGAGAAACCTCGTGTGGGTTGCACATGTTGAGATGCGGCTTCGCTGTGCACATGCGTTTTCCACCGGTTAGTGACACAGACAGAAACTCTGAAACCTCTTTACCTTGCTAACATGTGCATCTGTGGATCTCTGTGGTATCAAAAACTATATATTTTTCAGAGAGTATGACTGATAAATAGGATGTGCTGACATTACTAGCTGTTGGTGTCAGTGGTGTTGAAATAGGTGCTCAAACGCGTACATATGTGAGAGTTCGACCCTAAACCAGCACAAAAATGTGAAGGTGTGTTTGATTCGAGTCTAATCTGTTGACATACATTTTCTGTGGCTTGCATCGCAATATAAACCCTGAATAATGGTAAATGAAGGATGAATTAGTCCATAAAAATGAATTAGTTATTGGTATTGGTATTAGTGCAGCTCTAGCTAATGTGGCTAATTAGCAACATTTGTTAATTAGCAGCCTAATCTTTACTTAGTGGTTGGTAATTAGCCACTTTCAGCGTGCCATTGTATTAAACTAAGAGGGTGAAAATGTTAAACGTCATCCCTTGCTGTGATCCTGTTAGCATGTTAGCAGTAGTTTAATCATAGACCGATATAGAGGTATATATAGAGATGATGAAGAAGAACAATATAGACTTAATATTCTAACTGTGAAATGTTGCTGTTGGTATTAGCCTTAAACATTTAGTGTCAGTCAGGCTCTAATTGTTAGTTTAGCCATCCAGTGAACTCGTGTATTTTACTATATTCTGCTGACACATAAAGTTTTCTTTTTCTTCTGTCCGATCCAAAGTTTGTCTCGTTGCTCTTCATTTGCTCTTTGCCCTTTTTCTGAACTGTATGTAGGCTCTCACTTACAAGAAAACCCCGTCATTATAGCAAAAGTCACACAGATTCACATGTAGGCTGTTTATTGGACAGAGTTCTGATGACCTTTGACCCCACCAGGTTGGCAGACACTTTGGCTGAACAAATCCAACTACAGTCTTTGTGCAAGGGATCTGTCTGTGCTCTTCGCTGTAATTTCCCTTCTGTGGTGTTAATCCCAGTAAAAAGCACATGAAGAAACAGCTATAAATGAGAATGAATCCAGACTGTGGTTTGCCCTTGGTTCATTTTGTTTTGCTAAGCTTTCCAAGCCCGAGGCTTTGGCTATTACATGTCACCATCTGTCTCCTTATGCACATAAGTCTGTGCATTTTGTATTACATTCTGTCTCACTGTGAATATAACTTGGAACAGGGCGAAAACTCAGACGCTTGCATCTGATGAGGTTATTTGACGCCACTTGCTTTTGAATTGCATTGTTCAGTGTTGTGGTGGTGGTGCAGTGGTGTACAGCTAAAACAAAAAGAAAAATTAATCAGCAACAATTTTGAGAATCGATTAATTGTTTGAGTCATTTTTCAAGCTGCCAAATATTCCAGCTTATCCTACAGTATGTGAGGATTTGATGTCTTTCTTTGCTTTATATGCTTATGCCTTAAATATCTTTTTTTTTAAAACAAGACAGTGAAAGGCATCACTTTGGCCTCTATGACGTGGCCTTTTTTAACAATTTTTAATGCAATTTTGTAGATGCAACTTATTGATTAAAAGACAAAAGAATTGGTTTGTAATGGAAACAATTGCATGATGCAGCCCCAGCCTGGTGTTAAAGTGCCTGTAACTTCTATTATTGTAAAAGTTATTGTGTAAACTTTACACTGTAAAGTTCTACTTCTTCCTCATAATCCATATCCCATGAATAAGATAATGCTCTGCAGTGAGATTGATCCAATATCCCAGTGGCTCTGCTAGCAGCCTTGGCTGATAATGTTTGTATCTGCTGCTCTGTGGTTTCAGTGTACAGGCAATGAGAGGACAAAGTGTTAGGCTGACAAATGACTCTTGTATATATCTTTTGCTAACAGAGAGAGGCCTAAGACCCAGCAGAGCCAAACAACTTTCACCAACCCTCAAGTGGATCATGCACCAGCATCTATTAATGTCATCTTCTCTTCCTCCTCCTCCCCAGACGGCCTATAAGCCCTGGCTGTGCGCTCAGTATTTCCCCACCACCCAGCAGTCCTGTCAGAAGAGGGTACCGTGCCACCAGTACTGCCTGGAGGTCCAGCAAAGCTGTCCGTTCATCCTGCCCGATAACGACGACCTGATCCACGGCGGCAGCCCCAGCTTCATCTGCACAGGTTAATACCGACTCACTTTCACTTCCTGTTTACAACAGCGGCAGATGAGTGCCGAGTGTTTTGCGGCGTGTGTGGGTGTTTGTGTTGGCCTTGCATTCCCTACTGCCTCAGAGAAAACCTACTAATTTAATTTATGTTAGCAAAATAGCATTTTATAAAGCGATGCACAGTATTAATTCATGCACAATGTGTGTCTCCATGTTTACTGGATGCTGTTCCTCCAGGAAAAGAGCAAAGTGTTTCTGAAGGCTTTCTGATGACACCTAGTGGTGTATTTGAGCACAGCCGAGCTCAGACAAGGACATTTTAACAATGCATTGATAAACTGAATTTGGCCTGTCTCTCAATATTTACTGTGGTTTATGCAGTAGTACTCACCAAGGACTCTGCCTCGGAGGACCAGACGCTGGCTGTGTGCCAACAAACAAGTTATCCTGAAGAGCTGAGCATCATTTTAAAGGCCCTGCCACAGCCACGCTGGTGTTTGTGTTACTCTGGCTGGTGAGAATGGTGCACAGGTTGACACTGGGTGGACCTGTAGTGGGAATTATGTGAGATCACCAAAACTTTTTGAGCTAAGGGACTGTTTAATTGTCCTTTAATAGCAGGTGGAGGGTATTTTTTAATTTTGCTGAAGGGAGTTTTTCAGCTCTCTTTTGTGGCTCACTTTATCATACGCAGTGGACAGCCATCCTGTCACTCTTTCAGGCATCCATTTTTCACCTCAGGACCATAATAGGACCACCATGTAAATGATGAGAAACACAGAATATGAATGTTAATGAATTACGGATATTAGTATTTAAAAGACCAGTGTGTAGGATTTAGTGGCATCTAGCGGTGAAGTTGCAGATTGAAACTATTTGAATACAGCTCAGCCTTCGAAGCGGGTAGGAAAAACTACGGTGGCCCTGAAACTAAAAAGGCAAAGGGTCCTATCTACAGCCAGTGTTTGGTTTGTCCGTTCTAGGCTACTGTAGAAACATGGCAGACTCCACAGAAGAGGACCTGCTCCCTCTCTAGATAAAAAACAGCTCATTCTAAGGTAACACAAACACAATAATTATTATTATCACTACACTAATGAAAACATATTTATGAATATTATATTACATTTCTGCCAATAGATCCTCCTGGATCTTTAAATGTTAATGTATTTTCCTGTTTCATTTTAGTCCGTATCTTAGCAAATGGTTTTTATAAAGTTAAATAAATCATTTAAATTTGACCCATAATTCAGCTTTTTATTTATTTATTTTTTTCATCCATCTGCGCAACTAGAATATTCATTATTTTACTTTTTTCTATTAATTTAGAACTTTCCTTTTCCACTTCTGTAATAAGTGGAACAATAATGGGACTTCCTGGTAAAATAAAGGTCAAATAACTTTGAGATATTGGGGGGTTGCAGGTGTAAATCAACGGGGGGTCACAAAGAAAATGTTGGGCAGAGTCGAACTTTTTTTAAAAGGGGAATATAAAATTCAACCCCCGTCAAATTTAAATAATCGTGCCTGATAATAATATTAAAGGAGTTAGTTTCACCCTCACAGCAACAAAACCGCCAGGGGAGTCAGGGAGGTGTCAATCAATCACAGTCCTGAGTAGAGGTCTAACCCAGGTAGAATAAGTTGAACCTGTGCAGGTGACCTGTAGGTGAGGGATTTTAAATGAGTCAGTAACAAGCTGTTCATCTACCACATTTAATGTCCTAACTAAAAGGTTAACGTCCTTTTTTCCTGATGTTTTTAGTGTAGAAACAAACTTTATCCGTGTCAGATCTGCTCTCATCATCCTTCAACTGACACAACCCGCTTCCTCTGTTCGGTGAGAAGTAAGTGAGGTTTCCCCCGTTGAGGGCGGTGACAGCTCCTTTTTTGCACGCTGGCAAGTTAAGACTTCCAGAGTCATCACCTGATGCAGGGATGCGTCAACCTCTGTGTGGTCGTGGCTTTAATTTGAGTTCAGCGGAGGGTCACTGTGTCTGGTCCTCCAGCGTCGTGATCACAGCTACAGACTGAGGTCTCGTGGGCTTGATCTGTCTACAGCGCTGAAGGATGTCAGAAAGGACGGTCATTGTTGATGAGATAACCTTCACTGTGCTACAATTAAACTAGTCAATGCAAATTTGATTGTTATTAACAGATGCTGTTTTTAACTGAACTGGAGCAGTTTTTCAGGCTTCATTCAGACGCCCTACTTCCACTTAGTCCTATAATTTCTCCTGAAGACGGATTGTATTAGATTGTACCTACTCTGTATCAGTTTGGGTATTTATCAGGCCTTTTACAACAACTCATATGTTTGACACACATCATGAGATGATATAAATGTATCTATGTCAAATAAGATTGTGCCATTATATTAGATTATTGTGCCCAAATCCATGAGTAGGACTGCTTTATAGCATTATTAGAATTTGATATCATAGTGTTATATTATACCTTGGTTTGTAAGGTATTTAATTTGCTTGATTAAACAATTTCTCCATTCTTTTTCAATATTTCTCCATCGCTTATATTGTTAGCAAGTTAGGAAGAGATCTTTTCATGGTCAGTGTGAACAGGAGGAAGGAACACAGCAGACGAAGTTCAGTTCAGTGTGTAACATTCAGGAGGATCTATTGGCAGAAATTGAATATAATATTCATAGGTGTGTTTTCATTAGTGTACAATCACCTGAATATAGAAACTGTTGTGTTTTCGCTACCTTACGATGAGCCGCAGGTCGTCTTCCATTGAAACACAGTAGCCCAGAAGGGACAACCCAAACACTGGTTCTAGATTGGGGCAAATGCAGCCACTGTAGTTTCTCCTTCTCCTTGATGAGCAATAAAAATGCACTCTTTCTCAGTTCATCACACTCGCAGGCTTTTCCAGTACAGCCTTGCTTGGTCTGGTATGATCAGTGGTTAATATTAGCTAATGTTAGCTAATGTTGTATTGCGATAATTTGTTTTGTGATTCTCAAAAACACTGTTTTGATAGCAGTGTTGTATACGAGGGCTATGATGTTGGATGTCACAGCGACTGTGATAATACAAATGCAGATCCCACTGTTAGTATATTGAATTGTAACCCCTGTATTGTGACACGTATTGTATTGCCAGATTCTTGCCAATACACAGCCGTAATGTGAGCAAACTACAGACAGATATTCCTGCAGAACAGACGCCACTGTATCATTATACTGGTTTGAATACTCTTTTCAACTGTTCTCCATTATCCCGTAATTGTAATTGTCAGTGGTTGCTGTTTATCAGAAGTTACATAGTCTGGCTTTAATGTCCTGTGATTTAAAAGCTGGCAGCTGTAGTTGCACTGTAATTAAAGCTAGAGAATACGAGCATGATTTATTGGTTATTGGCAACTTCATTCAGAAATATTCTTTATTGGTATCAGCTGTCTGCAAAGCAAATCACATTAACTCTGGTTAGTAATAGATACTGTACAGCGGGGAAAAAGTCAGCATTCTTCTCCTGTGTCATCTCTTTCTCAGGGCTCTTGGCGGATCATCTATCAGACAGTGAGGCGGAGTGCTGCGACGTCCGATGGGACTCCAAAATGGACAGCCCTTCAGGCGGGACACTAAAAAGGACTGCTTCTTCCTGCCAGCCCGAGGGGGCCTCGGTCACCTCCGCTGCCACCCCGAGACTGTGCAGCGGGCGACTGAAGATCTGCCTGCTGGCCCTCGTCCTCCTACACACTGTCATCATCATTTCAGCCTCCCATAATTCTACGTTGGTGGGCGTGGCTGCCATTTTCTCGCCAGAGGAGAGTGCTTCTAATGAGGAGTGAACCTTGGGGTTGAATCTGGTGCTTGTAAAGAGTGATGTCGCTCGAGAGGATTACGGCTTTTACAATGTCATGGCTGCCAGGGACACATCTGGCGAGACGTGCTGGAAATGCCTCTACAATCTTCCGCAGATGAACCATCAACCACAGGAAGTGGGAGGGTTTTAACTGGAGCTAAGGGTGCTGGGATTGGACATTGACCGAACCGAGATGTTTGAGAACCACCCCCCTAAAGAACTGACCTCTTGCCACTTGAAACCTGCTCATTGTTTCTATTCCATCCAAATGTTTTCTAGCATATTGTCCCTCCTCTCCTCTCCCTACCTTCCCTCCCTCCCCCATCACTCCCTTCCCGTCCTGACGTTTTTCCGGAGTGTGTATGGATGGCACGTCAGAGGATAAAAACGGACATTGGTGAAGTGTGCGCTCTCTCGCTCATCGTTACCTTTAGATTTTTTGCTGCATTTTTTTCAGGTGCCAGAATGTTTTGACATATCAACTGTGTTCCACTTCCTGCTCTCCATCACCTCCGAGGCGTCTTCTCACTCCCTTGTGTGTGATGTTGCTCGAGGGCCTGCCAGGACCAGCTCATCCATCACTCATGTGGGTCTTGTTTCTCTGAAAACAAACTGTATGTGATTCTTCTATACTATACTGTTCAGCTTGTATTTTGTCCCACTAGAAGTTCCTTTTTTCCGACCCCTTACGACAGTACATGCCTACATGTTTTAGGACCTTAAGTGCTCTGAGAGTGGCCCGCTTTCTCTTCTAACTTGTTGGGCCATTGAGCAAGTTAGGAGGGAGGACGTGGCAAAGGTAGTGACGGTTCAGATTGCGGGGTGTTGCAGGAGTCGATGCTGAGCTCCTGAACAGGAAGTGGTGTTCTCTGGTTGCTAAAGTGTTCAGTTTACCTCATACGGTAGTGTCGGTGTTGCAGATAGGCAGCCCAGTGGCTCGTGTTAGCGCCACAGAGAGTATTTAGAGTTGTCGTACACGAGACTGCAGGGACAACCCAGGGACACTAGAGAATAGTCGCATGATGCCAAAACACCAGGGACCTCATTTATCAACCGCGCGTACGCTCGTTTCTGTGCACAGAATCCGGTTCATCAGTTTCTTCTCGTGCTTAAGAATGTGTGTACTTTTAGAAACCCTCCCCGACCGCGTGTACCGACGAAACGCTAGTGATACACAGGTGTAATTGTGAAGGAACTAAACTACAAACACGTAAACCAATTCACTGTTACTGTCAGTACTAAGATTGTTATTTTAAAAGAAATGAAATCTTCGAGAGGGAAGTTATGCCGTTAAAGTCACAGTAAAACGGAAGTTAGAGCGTCTTTAGCTTCAAGTTCAGCTTAGTTACAGGATTTAAATCCCTCACCTACGTTGTTACATCTTTTAAAAATGTAGTTTTTCCAGTTGAAATCCAAACACACACACACACTCCTGCTAGGATTTTGCTCTGCTAGCGACCCACAAGCTACGATCTTAAGTGTTTGTCACTGCACATTGGTCATTAAACATATTTTTACGTTAATAGAGAAAAAATGTTTTTAAACACATTTAGCATGTAACAAGAGATAAATGATGAACTGACACAGGATCAGGACTTCCACTCTGTCTTTAATGCCTCTTTGTCTAACTTTCATTTTAAATAGAGCTGTACCTCACAGCACCGCGGCCGACAGTAACCTGGATTTTTGTTCGTTTCTTCAGATAAAGTTGTAATCATACAGCTTGATAATGACTGCTTGTTAAGGTTCGCATTCATGAGCCGTGATCAAATCTCACACCACTTCCGACGTCTGAAAACAGAAACAGAAACATCTGTAAATCAGAACGACTATATCATGAGCTCGGCTGCGTTACAAGTACAGTACATGTGATCACAGACAGCGGAGAGATTGCACACCGCACTGAACCTGGTTGCTTTAAATTATGGAGCACTTGAGCTGATTAACAGTGATTATCATCACAGCGCAGAGACATGCCACTCCACCAGAAACATCTCCTGTAAATGCACAGCAGGGAGAGGAGAGTTTATTTTCTACGACAGTTATGTTCCTTAATATCGGCAGGGAAAAAAAAAACAATCAGTGGTCGTCTCTTCAAGTTGCGATAGTCGACGTGATCGCCGGTCGGCACAAGCCTAGGCACGATACTCTTGCAAGCAAACACACCTGAAACGTAGAACTTCTAGAGTAAAATAAGACCAGCAACAATGCAGGAACTTATGTCTACTTTCTTTTTTTTTGTCTCTAACTTTCTCGGTTTTCTACCACAAACAGTAACTCTGCATTGCATTGAGGACGGCCTTCTGTCTGCATGTAAATGAGCTTGTATGTGCACAAGCAGAACCAATTTTCTCGTCCGTACAGACGCTTCCTACGCACACATTTAAAACTTGTTCTGTGCTTGGTTTGATAAATGAGGCCCCAGATCTTTGAGTGCCTCTCTGCTGCGTACGCCCAGTGAGGCAGATACTGGCAATGGAGCAATATAGAAAAAGAAAAAAAAAAAAAAAGAGAGCCAGTGTTAGTGTCCTACTTTGTGGCATCTTCACTATGGTTGGCTCGGCTTTCTCGGAGTTGGTGCGAGCGAACAGCTGGCCAGTCAATCAATCAATCAACAAATCAATCAATCAATCAATCCGTCGACTCTTAAATACCCTTAGACGAGCTGATCAACTGCTATCTTTCACGGACTAGCAAAGGGCTGTGTTAGTGTCAGCGTGCGAGGAGTGTGAGGAGTTTTTCAAGGGCTGATCCATCTGACTTTGTTGGGTTTTTTTTTGTTGTTTTGTTGTTGCATGGCTGCAAGTGAAGTGCACATTGACATGAGGACGGGTCATGCAGGGATTAAGAAGAGTTTAAACCCCCCCCCCTTTCTTTTCTTTGTTGCTAGGAATGCACTGAGACTGGACAGAAACAGAGATTCGTCCCATCTTACAATCTGATACTGTGAGCAACTAGTGATATACCAAATATTGAAGCCAAGGACGCTAAATCTCCTTCACGAAGCAGGTTTTTGTCCTCCATCCTGGTTGCCTCTAGTGATCAGTTAAAGACAGATTGGAGTTTTAACTTCATCTCCAAATTGCTCTTGGCTGTGAAAACTTGGTGTCAGTGCACCCCCCCCCCTCCCTCTCCTTCTCTCCCTCTCCCTTCCCCATTAACAGCTTGACCTTACCTCGCCTCACATCGCATTAAGACCATCGGTTTGCTCTTCACACACTCGTCATCAGAGTGGGATGTCACGTGGAAGTCAAGTCCACACTTGCCTCTGGATGTTCATAGACTTTTAGCCCCCCTCCCTCATCCCTCCCCCCTCCCCCAGTTTGCTCTCTGACCCCCCCCCCTTTCGCTCGATATTCTCGTGTGACGTGTTGTTTTGTTCGTTTGTTTGACAAACTGTGACGACGAGAACTACATTCCCTCGAAGACAGCAGCAGCGGATGTAATAGGCCCACACTTTGTGCTCCGTCCCCTTCGATCTCTAGCTGTTCACGATCTGAAGTCCTGTGGATCTATGCAGATGAACCCCCATCCCAAACTAAACCCACCCCGACCACCGCCACCACCACCCAACCCCCTTGTCCTTTCTGTTGTAAATATGTCCTGAGGATGTGGGATCCCAAAATGGCCACCCTATCTCCCGCCGACCCTCCCCAGACCTCCCCTCCCCGCCCCTCCACTGTTGGAATCTCACTGTGTTTTCTGTTCGCCTCCTTGGTTTTTGTCTGTTTTTTGAGATTTTTGCCGCATTTTTCTGTTGTCTAAAGCAGTGGTGTGAGTTGATGAGTAGGACTAAGTTGGATGTTAAAAAGATGAGATAAAGAGGTCTTAAGAAAAATATACAAAAAAAATGAAGCGTGAATTGAGAAAAGGGTTCAAATATAGAGAAAAAATTATGATAAAGTTGTCATATTGTCATACTAGAGATGCTTTAGTTTGCTAATTTACTTTCTTTTTTTTCTACAAAAGACTTGGATGAAATTATTTATAAAATGCGTCCCACGAGTCATGATCTTTTTTGGACGTAAAACAAATACATTTATTAACATTTTGTTCAAAAGAAAATAAATATAAATTATGTTAAACATTACTGGTGTTTGTGTTTTTTGACAGTGTGTGTCTTTGACCATTGATAATTAGGACTTTTTCATAATGATAGATTTTATTTCATGTCACCTGTCAGCCAATCACAAGCCTCCTGCCTCCTTTAAGCCAACAAGCTCAACAGCTGCTGCTACCACATTTAGCCAGTTAGCTCCTGTTGGCTAAAGCAACAATGTCAAAGTCAGTCAAGATAAATGAATTAACAGGCTAACAGCTAACATTCGCTGGTGATTAACCACTTACTTCTGCTACTGTCGCTTCACTTTAATATAGAGTAATAAACACAACCCCACCTAGCTAGTTAGCCTGCTTATTCATTGTAGATACTATGTCACACCTTATTTTATATTGTTGCTCCAGCTAACAGCTGCTAACTGGTTATTAAAAAAAAAAGGGGTTATAGGAAAAAAAAATTGTGATATTATTTATACCATGGTTGAGTTTGATATTATTAATATATTTTGGGGCTCTTTAGATAATTCATCTGCAGGCATATACGGTACAAAGCTGTTCCTCATGTTGACCAGCAGAGGGCAGTAAAACATCATATCCCCTCATGCAGCGGGTGAGTTGGACAGCTACAGTCTGTCCTGTCAAACCTCAAACAGTCAGTCACACCTCAGCTTCCACTTTCCACACAGGAGCGTTACTTTAAAACAGCATTGAGTCTCATCACAACCTGATTCCAACTTCTGGACTCAGATAAAATAATGTCACATCTGAAAATAAAATAAAATTTAATTGCATTAATAATGTGTCAGCTTTAGATTTGGCCTGTTAGTGAATATCAAGTTTGATATTCTGCCCAATTATGTCAGTAAAATGTTTAATTTGTTACATTTGCTGCACTGCAGGCCTGACCTATCTGATCAGAAAGTAAATTGCCTGGAAACAATATGATTAATACGATCCCTCTTTAACACACACTGTTGGTTTCTGTATGGATTAAACAAACAAAATACAACAATAAACATATTTACTGTATTGACACGGGCCACTTGAGGGCGGCAGAAACAAGCTGTAAACCTGATCCTGACATAATGACCTTTTAAATGTGATACAGCGTTAGCATATTTACATCGCTTGTTCCTTCAAATTAGATTAACAAGTGCACTGTGGTTGACACAACATCCCTGTCAGCTCTCTCTCTCTCTCTCTCTCTCTCTCTCTCTCTCTCTCTCTGGGGCTGAGTCCTCTGTCCTACAGAGGAGAGAGACACTTCAATTTAATCACATTGAGCCCCAAACAAAGTTTAAAGTCAGTTTATTATTCATTATTTCTAGTTGAATGAGCCTACTAGTGGCAGCAAATGTGTATTGTCCTTTGCTTTGTACTCACACTTTGTTCTATCTATGCTTGGTCAGCTGAGATCATAGGAGCGTAAGAATGAATGAAAATACACTGAAGTAAGCTGTAAGTGTTTAACATAAAGGTTAACAGGTTAACCTTTATGTTAGTAAGAACTGTTTATGTTGATTCTGCCTTATTTACAAGAAAATAAGGGGTGGGTTTGATCCTCACTTAATCTGAAGTAGCTGTCCAAAAACAAAGTGAGGAGTTCTGAGAGAGATAGGTGAGAGGTGTCTCATATCAAATAGCTTAGGTTGTAGGTTCGAGCCCATGTTGTCCCATTGCAAGTAAATCATGGTGTTTTTGAGGATTCCCTCAAATTTGAAGTTGGATGTTCAACGACAAAAAGTTGAAATCTCTGAGAAAAAGGATTCAGCTAATTCAAGTTAAATGGCACAACGTATAAGAACCGGAGCTGATGATTTGAGGTTGCGGGTTCGATCCTCACTGAAGTCTAACTTTTGAAGTTGTTCAAAGACAAAAAGTCATCCATTTAATCCTTTCTCTAATATATGGGACACTAAATAAGTTTGAATTCATAAAAGTCAATTCATTATTCGTGTTTAAAGTCGGCAGTAGTTCTTTCCATAAGTGATGAGGCTTCGCGGATCGATCGTCACTTCCTTCCCACCTGGACCAATCAGGTGGCCGCATTTTGAATCGACAGGTAAAGAACAATTCAAAATGGCTGTGCCCTCGTCTTTCGTGTCCGGCAGCGTGGAGGACAACATGACGACCAAACTTTCTCCAAAAGTGCGATTAAAATGAGGTTTTAAACGATGGTTTATGCCTCCAACGTCCATAAAGAAAGAAGAGGTGAAAGATTTAACTCACAGAGGGAGGAAAACATTCAGAAACACCGTCTGTCTCAAACAACAGGTGAGTAAAGAGAAATGTTTGGCGGGAAATGTTAAGTGATTCTAAATGATTGAATGTATTAAAATGCTGCACCCAATCTCAGCCTCATCCTGAGTTGAGTCATTCTGGGAATAGAAAGTCTAAAAGATAAATATAAGAGAAGTTGGTTCTGCTAAATGTTCTTAGTGTGTGTGTGTGTGTGTGTGTGTGTGTGTGTGTGTGTGTGTGGTTGTAGGCTGTGTTTATCTCCACAGGGTTGGAGGCCTTTGTGTGGTTTATGGGGTTAAAGCAAATAAGATAAGAAAACAGTGAACACAATACCTGCAGGGAGTTTGTGTAAAACCAGAGATTTGGATTTTTGTTTTTAGATTATTTCCTGTGAATATTGATCATATTTAGTTCTGATATTTTTAGGAATCATTGTGACTTAATGGTAATTGTTCAGTATTTTCTTCCACTACAGTTTGTGATCAGGTCATCATAGTTTAGATGTTAAGTATTACACAGTAATGTGATACTGAAACAGTTTACATCTGGTTTTACAGTGTAATCTAAACTTTAGAAAATAACTGTTTCATTTACTTTACGTCAGATATAGATATAGGCCTACTGTGTATATTTAAGTTTGTCTGACTCCCCTTCAAATCAACCAATGGGATAAAGGACGCAGAGATTTATTAGACTGTCTTTGTAATATTGACCACACAATTCATTTACATTGTTGAAGCAAATACATTAATTTTTATTGAAAATCCAAAAACAATAGCATTCAGTATGGTCACCTAATTATGATCTGATTGTAACAGAACTCAAAGTGAGCAGCAAACATACATTGTCTGCATCAGAGCTTGGAAAGAATAACATAGAAAACACTGAGAAGATTATTAGGGTTAGGGTGGTTATTAATCCCATAATCCTCTGCTTCTAATCCAGATGAACCAAGAACCACACAGAGGTAAACTCATCGACACATCTCCAGACCGGCTGAGTTCACTGCTCAGCTGACTGTTGGTGGAAGGGACCACTGCAGCTGCTGTGTCGACCACTGGAGGGGAGCTCTGGCATCGTCCACTTCTTGGCTGAAGGGACTTGGAGTGTGTTTGATGGTCAGTGGGAACTTCGGAAGAGTCTTCAGGTGAGTCCACTTTCCACAGTTAATGTTGGTGAAGAGTTTATGTATTCTTCCTATCACTGCTAGTAATAATTCATGAGCCAGACAGATGTTACAAAGTGCAGTGTATGTACTGTGACACCCACAATGCAATTCACCTGCGTGTGTAAAACTCTCAGAAAATATTAAATAAAATATTACATTTAATTAATATTCAGTAAATTACCTTACTCTGTTCCTTAATAAAATGAAGAGTTAAGTCAATATTTATCAGTAATCAACAATAACTTTAAATAAATTCAATAACACTAATGAACTGCTTTAATATTAATTAATGTTAAGTGCTGCAGTTCTTCACTCTGACCACCGGAGGGAGCTCTTCATTGAACTGAACACTATTATTATATTTCAATTCTTCACATTTAACATGTACGATGATTTAACATTTATTTATTTTTTTACATATAAACAGATTGTTAACAATAACATAGAACAAGTTCCTCAGGAATTTATATCTGAAATGTTACACACATTATATCAGCTAGAAAACTGTAATTGTTACATTCAGTGCTGCATAGAGGAGGATTAATAAGGATAAAAAAATGTCTTTCAGCTACTTATGTTACTCAGGTTAGTTCAGAATAAAATGGGCCTCTATGTTTCTGTCAGAGTACTCCAACATTTCATTAACACAGGTGTGAACACATTGGGAAGTATAAATCAGTTTGCATGTTATTGATATTCGATTATCTTCCTCATTTTCCATTACCTACAGTCGTTTACCTCACCTTTAATGATGCATGAGAATCTGTAGAGAATATAGTTTGTATTCACGTCTTAAATAATAGTCTAAACTTTTAAAATAACTTAAAATTAATTTGGTTGTCCCAAAAAAAATTCTTACTTTAATTTTATTTTTCTAGCTTCTAAAGAATAACATGGACCAGTGTTTGTACTGTTTACCCATTATAGTAGCACAGTAGATCCAAATGCAATTCACCTGCATGTGTAAAACTCTCAGATAAAATATTAAAGGGGACATATTATGCAAAATGCACTTTTTTAGTTTTTTTTTAGAAACACTCCCCTCACCACGTAAGAAGCTGATTAATTTGCATAGTACCGCCTCCCCACAGAGAAGAGCTGCCTTTGCTGCTCTCCACCATGTTTGCCCTGCGAGCTCTGGCTGTTCCCATCATCAGAGGAAGATACGTACTTTATTTTTAATTATTAAATTTTGAAATGTGACTGCAACTGCTTTCTCAAGGAGGACCAGCTCATGGACGAGACGGACTGTCTGTGACCCAACTTCACACTTGGAAGCTGTAAGTTTTGACTTCCTTGTTCTGTATTTGAGCTTTTCATTCTTCATCAGTAACTGTATTATATACTGTCTTACAAGTAACAGTGAATCTGCCATGTTTTACAGGTGATCTGAGTGACCTGATGAAGCTCAGGTGTTCCTGGACCCATCAGAGGACAGTGACAGCTGCAGCATCAGGACAGTCTGTGTATCCAAAGGAAGACTCATCAGGATGAACACTGACCGCAGAGCTCCATTACCAGCTCACACTGCAGTATACTAGAAACCATTAATCTTGATGGAGGACACGATCTGCACAGCTCACATTAAAGTTAGAGCTTTGTTACTTGCACTATACACACACTTTATATTTCTGTGTAACTGTAAATTTGAATGAAACATGAATAAAGTGTTTTATTTTTAAGGAGACTTTTGGTCATTTTTAAATTCAGTAATAAGTATGGGTTTATATAAATAACATGTTATTTCAGAGGTTTTATAAAAAACTTATTTAATTTCCTGCATGTAGAACGGTTGAAATCCTGCTCCATGTAATCTCTATCAAAATGACAATGGAAATAGATTTACTAGTAACTCTGTAGTAAACACCACACATTTGTTTCACAGTCAAACTTTATTATGACAGATACATTTCATAATATATAATTAAATGATACAATATTCAGTGTTTGTGTATATATGTATGTATATAGGGGTTAAAACACAATTGTAGCTTTTACAAATATCTGAAAGTTAACTTTGGTAATAAGTTAAGATACTGGACTTGTACAGGATAAAGTATTCCAGGAAGGTTTCAGCCTCATTATGGTAAGTTTCCATGGTCTCAGTAAACTAATGTGTGTAAAGAATATAACAGGTGGGAGGTTACAGTAATCATTATACTATTACTGTGATTACTTTGGTACATTTATTGGCTGTTTCAGTCAGTCAGTCTGTTTCATATGGTAATATCCCCACATCCAGTTAATTACAGTTTACATTACCTACTATGCTACATGCACATACTAATGCATTACCTCTTTAGCTCCTCACAACAAATATGCTTTACTTCACTGGGCTCTGGAGACTGTAGGTCACTGCTCACTACTGTACCTGTAAAGACAAGCAGAAAGTTTTTGGGACAGGGGGGCCTTAAAGAGACACGAGCTCAAACAATGTTTCCGACAGAGGTGCTTCAGCTACAGGCAGTCTGATAAAAATTATGTTTCTTGATCATTTAAAACCTTTTTCTGAATTATATAGAGTACAGCTGGATAATGTCCTATCTGGCTCCATGTCTGCACTAATCACCTGCACTCTCTCTCTCGCCTCCAGGGGGTGCTGGTGAGTCGTGGGACACGGACGAAACGCTTTAGTCTTTCCAGTCGCCACTTCCAGATAGAGTGAGTGAAACTGTTATTTCATTTTTATTGAAAATCCAAACATCAGAGCTTCTAGAGAATAATGTAAAAACAGTGTTTGTACTGTTTACCCATTAAAGTAGCACAGTAGATCCAAATGCAATTCACCTGCATGTGTAAAACTCTCAGAAGATATTAATAGAATAAATATTAAATTAATGAAATAAAAATTCTACATTAATAATCAAATAAATGTGTTCATCAATGAAATTAGTGAAAATGTTAAGTTTTATGAGTTATCGTATTGTCTAATATCATACAGTAGTGTTATAGTTATTGTGATTGTCTTATATAATTTGTGTTTCTAATATAGTATAGTTGTGTCTAATATAGTACTGTAGTGTCTAATATAGTATAGTAGTGTCTAATCTAATATAGTAGTGTCTAATATAATACAGTAGTGTTTAATATAATCTAATATAGTAGTGTGTAATATAGTAGTGTCTAGTCTAATATAGTGTGTCTGATATAGTAGTGTAATATAATATAATAGTGTCTAATATAATATAGTAGTGTCTAATATAGTAGTGTCTAATATAATCTAATATAGTAGTGTCTAATATAATCTAATAATATAGGTCTAATATAGTTAGTGTCTAATCTAATACAGTAGTCTAATATAGTTGTCTAATATAATCTAATACAGTATAGTTGTGTCTTATAATATAGTAGTGTCTAGTCTAATACAGTATTCTAATATAATATAATATAGCAGTGTCTAATATAGTACTGGAACCAACTGGAAATTTTTTTTTTGGCTTATGTGTGATTAGATTTTCTTTGTAATATTGACCACAATTTATTTACATTGTTCATTTTTAATGAAAATAAAACAAGTCAACAACAGCTGTGTAGGTTAAATATAATTTTTTTTTTTTCTATCTCTCTCTCCAGAACCTTGGGAAGGAAGTCTCCTCTGCTCCCTCTGCAGCGGGCTGAGGCTCCAGGAAAAAAAAAAAAAGTGGACTTGGACTGTATAAATAGCTCACCGTGTCTAACTTTTAGAGTCTTGGAGTCCAGCAGCCAAAGAGAGTGGGAAGGGAGCTTGGTGGTAGTGAAGTCACACAAGTCCCAGGAGGAGCAGCTGAAGTCATTCAGAACAACAATAGACATTACTAACCCTAACCCTAATATAATATAGTAGTGTCTAATATAATATAGTAATGTCTAATATAATATACTATACTATACTAGTGTCTAATATAATATAATATACTAGTGTCTAATATATTATACTAGACACTAGTATATTATACATTACTATATTAGACACTACTATAGTATATTATACTAGACACTACTATATTATACTAGACACTACTATATTATATATTAGACACTACTATATTATACATTACTATATTACATTACTATATTATATTAGACACTACTATATTATACATTACTATATTACATTACTATATTATATTAGACACTAGTATATTATACATTACTATATTACATTACTATATTATATATTAGACACTACTATATTATACATTACTATATTACATTACTATATTATATTAGACACTACTATATTATACATTACTATATTACATTACTATATTATATTAGACACTACTATATTAGATTATATTATATTAGACACTATTATATTATATTAGACATTATATTATATTATATTAGACACTATATTATATTATATTATACACTATTATATTATATTATACATTAGACACTAGTATATTATACTAGACACTAGTATATTATACATTACTATATTAGATTATATTAGACACTAGTATAGTATATTATATTAGACACTAGTATAGTATATTATATTAGACACTAGTATATTATATTAGACACTACTATATTATACATTACTATATTATATTAGACACTACTATATTATACTACACTCTAGTATATTATACACTACAATGTTAGATTATAGTATATAGTATATTATATTAGACACTACTATATTATATTATATTAGACACTACTATATTATATATTAGACACTACTATATTATATATTAGACACTACTATATTATACTAGACACTACTATATTATACTAGACACTAGTATATTATACTAGACACTAGTATATTATACACTAGTATATTATACTAGACACATATAGTATATTATACATTACTATATTATATTAGACACTACTATATTAGATTATATTACATTAGGCACTACTATATTAGATTATATTAGACACTAGTATAGTATATTATATTATATTAGACACTAGTATATTATATTAGACACTACTATATTATATATTAGACACTACTATATTATATATTAGACACTACTATATTATATATTAGACACTAGTATATTATACTAGACACTAGTATATTATACATAACTATATTACATTACTATATTATATTAGACACTACTATATTAGATTATATTATATTAGACACTAGTATATTATATTAGACACTATTATATTATATTAGACATTATATTATATTAGACACTACTATATATTAGACACTACTATATTATACTAGACACTACTATATTATACATTAGACACTAGTATATTATACTAGACACTAGTATATTATACATTACTATATTACATTACTATATTATATTAGACACTACTATATTAGATTATATTACATTAGGCACTACTATATTATATTAGACACTAGTATATTATACTACACTCTAGTATATTATACACTACAATGTTAGATTATATTAGACACTAGTATAGTATATTATATTAGACACTACTATATTATATTATATTAGACACTACTATATTATATATTAGACACTACTATATTATATATTAGACACTACTATATTATACTAGACACTAGTATATTATACTAGACACTAGTATATTATACATTACTATATTACATTACTATATTATATTAGACACTACTATATTAGATTATATTAGACACTAGTATATTATATTAGACATTATATTATATTATATTAGACACTATTATACATTAGACATTACTATATTATACATTAGACACTAGTATATTATACATTACTATATTAGATTATATTACATTAGGCACTACTATATTATATTAGACACTAGTATATTATACTACACTCTAGTATATTATACACTACTATATTAGATTATATTAGACACTAGTATATTATATTAGACACTAGTATATTATATTAGACACTACTATATTATACATTAGACACTAGTATATTATATTAGACACTAGTATATTATACATTACTATATTATATTAGACACTACTATATTAGATTATATTACATTAGGCACTACTATATTATATTAGACACTAGTATATTATACTACACTCTAGTATATTATACACTACTATATTAGATTATATTAGACACTAGTATAGTATATTATATTAGACACTAGTATATTATATTAGACACTACTATATTATATATTAGACACTACTATATTATATATTAGACACTAGTATATTATACTAGACACTAGTATATTATACATAACTATATTACATTACTATATTATATTAGACACTACTATATTAGATTATATTATATTAGACACTAGTATATTATATTAGACACTATTATATTATATTAGACACTATATATTATATTAGACACTACTATATTATATTAGACACTACTATATTATACTAGACACTACTATATTATACATTAGACACTAGTATATTATACTAGACACTAGTATATTATACATTACTATATTACATTACTATATTATATTAGACACTACTATATTAGACTTATATTACATTAGGCACTACTATATTATATTAGACACTAGTATATTATACTACACACTAGTATATTATACACTACTATATTAGATTATATTAGACACTAGTATAGTATATTATATTAGACACTAGTATAGTATATTATATTAGACACTAGTATAGTATATTATATTAGACACTAGTATATTATACTAGACACTACTATATTATACATTAGACACTAGTATATTATACTAGACACTACTATATTATTTAGACATTACTATATTA